TTTCTCCTTCAGGGCAGCCTCAGTCTTCTCCCTCACGCTGGCACATGCCAGCACTCACACACCACACATCATTTCTCCCACCAGTGCTTCCTTTCACCAGTTCATACTCAATACAAAGCTGGGTCCACTGCTTTTCAGTCTTCCTCCACTGCCACCTCTGTGGTTTCACCACTAGGAGTCCTTGTCCCTGGCAGTCCCTAGATTTTCCCTTCATTGCACAGCTTAACAGTTCTCCTCCCTGAAAAAATCTAAGATGAGATAAAGGATGACTTTTGTTGTTTGTTTTTATATAGTTGAACTTTGTCCTTATGTATGTCTTCTCACATTTGCTCAGTCCCTCAGGCTGAAAGTTCTTTGGAGAAGTAGCTGTGTCTTGCAAGTGTTTTTTTGGTTTTTTTGGGTTTTTTTTTTTTTTTTTTGACATTGGAAATGTTCTGCATTGGAAATAGTGCAGACAAAAATTACCATAATAAGAGCCATCATTTTGTCAGGTATTGTTGCTTTTCTTTTTGTTATCAAAAGGACATTTTACCATTTTAACGTATTTTCTAGTTAGAAAATTAAGATAATGGCATTAATAGAACTCCAGTTGCAGTGCGGTTAGGGAATATATTCGTGTCTTTTGATCCACCTCCTTGTTTCAATACACTCAAAACAAAGTTCCCCAGCCTTGAGAAAGCTAAATAGCTTAGACCAAAAATCACAAGATAAGCAGATAAACACAGACTATTGCAGTTACATGATTTACTTAAATACCAAGTTTTTCCGTGTCTCAAAAAAAACACCAAATAAACAAACAAACAAACAAAAAAAAGACTCTGCTAGTAAGACAAAAGACAAAATAATTTACATTAGGAATTTATACTGTTGTTGCTACTGCTTGCTTACTTTTTCTTTTCAGATAGCATTTCCAGATATCTGCAGACTGGATTTGTATTTCAACCAGAAATGTTGCTGATATGCAAAGTATTAATTTGTCATTAGTGTTAACTGTAGTGTTATTTGAATATCACCTAAGAAATGTACAGCCCAAGTGTATAATGACAGAACTGGCTGAAATTTTTGAATTTCCTCTGAATTCTGTAATAAATAGTTATATTCTGTAATTTGTTATTTCCAGGCCACTATCACATGAGTCACAAATGTTACAGTTATGCTGTATTGCCTGCTAAGACTTACTGCACATCAGCACCAGGGGGAATTATTATAGATTAAGTTAAATTTAATCACCAGCTCAAAATAACAGGCATAAATCAGCAGCGCTCATTAGTAAAGCGCATGTCTAACCTTATCTGAGAGAGATGCCCTAGAAAGGCAAAGTCATCGTTTGTTTCCTCTGAGTCAATAACTACGCCCGTATATTTTAGTGGATTTCTAATCAGCGTCTCACTGCTTGGGTCTAACCTTGCTCCTGACATGGATCCACCAGATGGAGTTGGTGTTTGTCACCGAGTTTCTCCCCAAATTGTGTCTGCCTTGACACAAGCGAATCCCACTGACCTTTTAGGTGTCCTTCAACCCAGTGAGCCAGTTTCCCCTGTTCACATATGTCTAATTTTCCTCCACCTGTTTCTCTTCAGATAGACCATGAAGGTATCTCTTTGCATCCCTCTGTGCAAGTGCTGCACACCGCATCTTGGGCAAGTTGCCAGCTGTGCTTGTTTGGGTACAAATATTCTCTTCCATTTGCAGCACAGGCAGCTATTTAGGATTCCGGTCAGAGGTTTCTTTTGATTTAGTTTCCTTCAATAGAGCTATTCTGTAAATGCTTTCAACTTTCATTGTCTTTACCCTAAGAAGCTTTTTAGCGTGTTTCACAGAGGGATTCTGTAGATGAGTATCTGAACTACTGATTTTAAAATGGCATAAAAACCTGGATTGAGAGGAACTGAATAAAGTTACAAGGCTGAAACATTTTTTTAACAGAAAAAATACACTAAACAGTTTTATCAATGAATAAAAAAATGCTGTAAATTTTGATTTTTTTTAATGTGGTTTTCATTTTCTTGAAAAATCTCTTTTTCAGTGAGATATTCAATGAGTACTATTCAAGAATTTTATATGGATAAAATTTAAATAAACTTTCATTAGGAATCAAAGAAAACATGACTTTAAATGCAAGATGATATAAATTTTAATTTACTGAAATATGATATCTTAAAATCATGGTCTTTTAGGTCAACACAAAGACTATTTTGATTTTGTTTAAAGCAGATTGTCAGATCTAGAAGAAATGGAACCTACCATTAACCAGATATATTTATTTGTCTTATTCTCCACTTCACAACTTCTTTGTCACCTTGACTTCAGATGGTAGGGACCCCCTATTTGAAGCTTTCAGTTATATAGTAAAAGAACTATGTGCATGATCTCCATATAGTTTTTGGACTCTTTTCTATAATTTGTTCATATGAAAGGCTGTGATATTTTAGTATACTGATGTTGTGTGCATTGCATTCTCCTTATCTAAGGGCGTATTTCTGCAGACAGATTCTGTCTTTAGTTTCTAACCATGAATGGCGAGACAGATTTTCAGAAGATATAACAATGCTGATATGCATTTTGGATATCTCTGAGTATACTAATAAATGTCTCAAGCTTAACTCTGCTCTACTCTCACTCCCCTATTTCACATTGTCTGGGATATTTTATCATCTGTTGTTTGCTTGTTCTTATTGAAGTAGCCCTTTCTATTTCAACCAATTTGCTGCCTCTGTAGTAGACTCTGCAGTCTGTCCCTAGTCCCACTCCCAGCTAATCCCACTAGCCTGGATTACCCAGGAGGAAAAGAGGAAAATGAATTGGACCGTGGTTTGACTGATAAAATATTCCATGGCAGCTTTTATCAGATAAAGCAGCCTAAACTTCAGCTGAATATAGTTCCTAATTTCCTCCTATCCTCCTTTCAGTTGAGGCAGTGATTAGGATGTAAGATTCTGAACTTTTTTCAGATCTAGCTTAAGTGATACCAGGCAGATGAGTTATTGCTTCCAAGACACTGTTAAAACATGAATAGCTCCATGTTTATCATCTTTGATGCCATCAGAGAGTAGAAGGATACACAGTTTCTGGATAGAATTGCATATTGCATAATATATATTTTTTTTAAATTTGGAAAGAGTCTGATTGGCTGGAGGAAAAGGATGGAAGTGAATGGGTTATTTTGTACAGTTTTTTACCTGTAGATACTCCAAAGAGGACGCACAGTGTAAAGATTAGATTTTTGGTTCAAATCTATATTTGAATGCAAAACACAATTTTTTTAACTTGCTAGACTGAGATTTTTATTTGCTTGGACTTTTTTTTTTTTTTAAGTCTAGTTTGTCAGCTCTTACAAAAAAAAAAAAAAAGGAAAAAAAGACTTCATTTTCTGTTTGCCCATTGGACTCATCACTGCAAAATCTTGAGGGCAAATTTTGTCATGGAAGGGTGATTACATGCTTTTCAGAACAATTTAATTTGATATAACAATACAGTAACAGTTGCTAAATCTTCCAGGGAGATACTGTAAAATAGCCAAATTAGATGCAATGACCAATCAAAGTGTGTATTCGAATAGTAGCTAACCGTACCTTATTTCAGAAAATGCATTTTTTATTACCAAAATAGTAAAATTTATCCAAAAAAAAAAGACTAATTTATCCTCCCAGAGTTAATATATTTTTATTGGTAATGAAATGCTGTGACATTCTATCTAAATGATGATATAATTTCATAAACATTGAATCATGTTATCACAGGAAACAAGGGGCTCTTTATCTATGGAAGGTCTAGTCAAGAGAGGCCTAACATTAATATACGATTTTGTGTAATTTGGAGTTTAACCGTATTGTTATAGTAGGTAGGCAAGAAAGAATTCTGTAATATTCCTGAATTCATTTAATCAGGAAGGCAAATCAGTTATGTGGTTCAGTTACCAAATGCTGATAGAATTGGTTATGGTAGATGATTGTTTCTTAATTACAGCTGCTCTGTAATGGTATTGTGTTATCAGGTTCCAAGAGGAAAACAGTAGAGTATCATAGTTTGCTATGCCAAATGACCACTGATACTGCCAAGTATAAGTACCACCGAGAGTGGGTTCTTCTATAAGATGATAACAACATCCCTAAAATAATGAATGCCACACTTCCCTATAGGTATTTATGTTCAGATATTTTATTTAAATAATGTTCCTCATGCATACTTTATAGCCTTCTGCCTTTTCCTGCACAAATTTCGGCTTATATTGCAGAGTGTGCAAGTCATTTGGCAAATGTAATTTCCATCCCTGCATACTAATCGATTTCTTCACAAACACCTGCTATCAGTTATGATAATAAAAATGCCATTCTAAATTGAAAAGGGGCCAAATGGAGCTTCCTAAGGAAATGACTTAAGTGTCTTTCAATGTCTTTAATGTAGTAATGTTCTTGTAGTGCCAACACTTTTTTTTGAGCATTTGCATTTTATATAATTTTACTCATTACATCATTTTTCTGTCTAAATGGTTCCTCATAACTATTGCTATGAAGTAGCTCATGAAGAGACTGGAGAGGAATTTCTGTGCTTTCCCTCTCATGGGATTGAATCCAGAAAACTCTGCGTAGTAAAAATTCCTTAGTGCAGATCTGATTGGAACATCTGGCTGCTACAGCTGTATATATATTAAACAACTGCATCAGATCCTACAATGTCACTGGGAAAAGTTCTAAGTTGATGAGTACTTTTCCTTGGACTGCATGGCAGTTTCTTCCAAAAATATGTCTGAATTTAGCAGCTGGATTACAAGTAACGTTTGAATTACCCGGCATTGCTTTATGGCTCCCTCCACCCCAGAAAATAACTTCCCAGTGACAGTCTTTGCCAGAACCTGATCATTTTCAGTTCTGCTAGATCTCCCCTCTGCTCTGAAATGTCCTACAGTCCTATTTTGTTTTTTCCCTTGACAATGTCCTCTGCATTATTTGTAAGAAAACAATCCTTTTTACTGATTTCTTTGCATTTTCATTTTCTCCTAGCTCTAGCTGCCCAAGCTTATGCACTTAAGGAAGAGAATGATAGCCTTCGGTGGCAGCTGGATGCTTATAGGAATGAAGTGGAGCTTCTGAAACAAGAGAAAGGACAGCTCTTTCGAACAGAAGAAAGCCTTACGAAGGACCAGCAGCTGCAGTTCCTACAGCAGACGATGCAAGGCATGCAGCAGGTACTGCTGTGCAAGAGTAGCAAGGGTTTTCTTTTCCTAGGAGAGTGTTCCCTGAATCAATGCTGTGCACAAGACTATTTATGACTCTTGAACGCCCAATCCCAACTTCTTTGCAGAGTCAAAGTCTTACGGATTTTAGATGGGGGAATGGGGATGAGGAAGAGTCATTTTAGTAATCCATATACTATAAACCCATCATTCCTTCAAGGAAACTGTTTATGCTTGCTCTGCTTGGGAATGAACCATTTCGCCTATTTTACTTACTGAGCCCAGCTCGCAGTAAATCTGACCAAAAGTTCACAGAAGTTTTTCCAAGATAGCATAACATTAATCTGCATCATTAGATACATCTCCACTTCTCTGCACTGTCTTTTATTCTGCTTACTGTTGTTTGAGGATGATTTGGACAATTTCAGCTTATCCAATCTGCCTGCCTGCTTACTTAAAAGAAGATAGCAACCTCAGTATTATCTTCCAAACTTTTATTATTTATCCTGATCCGTGGATGTCGTGATTACATTCAGGCAATGCTTTAAGTGATGCAGTGCAGAAACACTTTTTCTTTAATTCCAGTCAGCCAGAAGCTGCAGTGTGTCCTTACACTGGGTGCTCATATAAGTTGTCCTATGTATGTTTGCTTGTTTGCTAGTATGCTCCTGATGTTGTACAAGGCAAGTCTTAGCAAGCACATCCAGACCGTTGCCTCTACTTTGTCTGTACTATCCATTAACACGTATGCACATTTCATTCAACACACACTTGTATTAACTTCTGTCCTGTGCCAGCACATATATTCACCTACAACACAACAGATCATGAGCAGTGTGCCAGCATACTGCTGGTTTTTTTTTTTTTTTTTTTTTTTTTCTAGACTT